GGGGGGGGGGGGGGGGCATGGTAACGAGACACACGCTCCCTTGACCTTTCTCACTCACCAGCTTTTTGTCGACAAAGACACGATTGTTAATGCTGTTGGGACGTCGCATGACCTCCACCTCCTGAAGATCGACAATCGAGAAGATGAGCTGGTGACGCGGACCAACTCTTGGTGCTCACACTTAGTGGACGCGGTGAGTGAACGCGCGTCACGTACGCACTGTGCCCAGGTCTCTAGCTACCGGCCAGAGAGAAAGGGGAACTCTTTCCCCGGTAGCATAGACTCTTTGCAATAAGAAATAAAGTAGGATTAAGGATGGCAGAATTCCACACTGAAGACAGCGTTTGCCCCCACAGACTTTAAAAACCCCCCGTGCTAACCCGTCCTAACTCCTGCCTCAAAGACACGGATAAGTGGATCGAGGAGGCTTTAAAGTAAATGCGGATGGAACTATGCACATTTCAAAGAACGATTTCCTTTCCCCCAAATCGGACTCAGAGAACGTAAGCGAGTTCTCTGACTTAAGGACCTCGGGCTTTGGTTTCACCCCTCAGATCCACAAGGATGAGATCATGAGGAACCGCAGGCGCGTGAAGGAGATCCATCAGTACGTCGACCATGTACAGAACGAGCTGGACAACCTGGAATGCAGCGAGATCATAGATTAGGGCCGCGCCAGCCCAGACGGTCCTTCCCCGATGCAGCCCTCAGCCCAAGAGCACACTCACGCGACCGACAGCCTCAGAAGCGTTTCTGGGAATTTCTCAACCCAGAACCCTCCTAACCCCATTCTTCCCCCACCCCTGGGAAGGGTAGAGAAAAATAAAGAATTATGTCATCTTTTCTCCGGTCTTTAAAAAAATAATCAGAATTCCCGTTCGTCCCTGAGCAGGAGAAACAGTCCAAGACAAACAACTGGCCAGCCTACTGAGAGCGACCTCTTGAGGGGGCTGCCAGTGAGCCAGGAGACTCTTGGCCAGGGCCCGGTGTCAGCTGTGCGCCCACCGTTTCTGACGCGCCCAGGGCAGGCTGCCGGCAGTAGGCGGAGGAGGCGGACATGGTCTGAGCCCTTCTCTCCTCGTGCTGAGGAGTGACGCCCGAGGCCGCAGACCCCAGCATAGCCCTTGGGCCTGGGCCAGCCCCCCAAGGCAGAGGCCGTGGCTCCCTGTGGCTCTAAGGTTGGCTGCGGGGACCAGAGTACCCTCTGGAGGTTAAGGGCACGGGCTGGACCTCCCCCATCACCTCTGCAGCCTGAGCTTCGTCTATGAGGTGGAGGTACGACAACAGTGCCTCCTCTGAGCACGGTCAAGGGGGTCAGGGAGGGCACGTGGAAAGTGTGGAGAAGCACCCCCTCCATGAGGGGGGTGATGCCATTTTATTACTCGGGTACCAGGACAGGCGGCTCAGACTCTTTTGCTGCCCAAACTCTCGGATTCTTCCTGCTTCCCTTGCACTGGGTCCTGGCACCAGGAGACCGCACCTGCCACCCAGGGCAGAGCAAGTGGCCACGTCGGGAGGACACGGAGGGCTCCTGGAAGCAGGACACAAGTCAGGTGGCCTTGCCCTGCCTGCCTGGGCTTTTAACCCACAAACTATGCCTATTTTCTATTTTCGAGAGTAAATTATTTCTTCTAAAATACCAGGAACAGAAATAACCAGCTTAGAACAAAAAGGACTCAGTTTCAAAAGATGGTTTGATTAAAAACCGGGGTTGGGGGTGGCGGGGAGTCTTCAGGCCGAGGGCTGCACAGAGTTGTGTGTTGACGTGATTTCCCCATTGCGTGAGGCTCCCGGCCACGGGTGGCAAATAGCAGAACGTGCCGTGGGAGGTAAGCTGTTTGACCTTGGTGAAACCCAGACACGACGAGGGACGGAGAAAAGTCGAGGTGCAAATGAAAACAGGGCTCCACATTTCCAGGGCAGAGAAATATTTAATAAAATCAGGTTGGGAGGAAGTCACTGGTTTGCTTGGCTGGCTCGCTGGCTGCCGGCCGGGGCGGGGGCACCCAGCTTGGACTCGAGCTAACCTCAACAGCCGCCCTGGGTCCTGGGGGCATCTCGGGGCAGCGCCGAGCTGGGGCGTCTGTGGCCGTGCGTGCAGTCTCTGTCCGGCTGGGGCTGCCCGCCCCGCCTCACTGCTGCAGGAGCTTGTGTTTCACCGTGGCGCTCTCGGAACAGAGGTGGACGAAGAGGGTGCCGGCGGCCGTGCGCGCCCGCAGCTCCCGCAGCTCGTAGTCGTGGGCCCACTCGATGTTGCCCCACTTCTGGATCTGAGGGGAGGACGTGACATGCCGCTGGGTGACTGGCCAAGTGTCCGCGTGCCGACCGGCCAGAGCCACATTCCACCCCAATAGCTAGGGTGGGGGGACTGGACTGGGCCCCCATCTTGCCAAAACACAAGACCCCCACGGGGGAGGCGGCAGGTGAGAAAACGCAGGTGGGCAGAGCAGGCAGCCATGCTGACGGGGTGCAGACAGTTTGGGAGGGGTGCCGTCCAGGTCCAGGGCCCAGAGGCACCCACTGCCACAAATGCCACGTGCATCTCCCCCCAAGGGGGCCCAACCCGAATGCCATCCTCCTCCCACAAGGAGGCTGGTGGGAGGCAGCCTGGAAAATGTCATCCTCTGCAAGCTGCCTCGCTGGGCTGGGCTGCAAGTGCCCCCCTGCCTCCCCCCCCCCCCCCCCCCAGTGTGGGTGGGATAAATAAATCAACGAAGGCCACATGGTCGATTCAGTTCCGACTCCCTGGGGGTGCTGCAGAAACCTGTGCTCTGCACGCTGGAGCCGACTTGTGGATTGTCTCCAGGGCTCTAACAACTGCAGGGGAGAAGCCCAGACACGCAGTGTGGCCATCCAGATGTCAGCGGGACTCCAGCCAGGCCCTGCTGGCTCCTCCCTGGCCAGAGGCCCAGCTGCCCCAGCCCATCCAGGAACTCGGGATCTGCCATGCCACACGAGCTACTGGGATCTTTGGGCAGCCTGGTCAATGTGGACAACTGTGATCTGTCGTCTGAAGAGCACTTTACAGCTTTGGAGAGGCCTCCACATGTAACCCAGGTAACCCCGTTTTGTGGCAGATCGAACCTAGTTCAGAGACTGATGGCCTGGCTCGGGTGCCACCATAAAATGCAGAGCCCAGAATAGAGGGCAGGTTTCCTGGCCCCCCCCTAAACCCTCCACCCCTTCACTCCCTGCCTGTTTAATTGTTCCTAGCTGGTCTCTTTTGCGACAGAGAAACAGTTTTTACCCCTGGCATTTTTCTGAGCAGATGACTAGACGGACTTGGGAAATAATGTCATTACAAAAGGGTTTTCATCATGCTAGGAGCCGATTTGTAATAGCAATTAACCTTCTGAGGTTGGAAAGAAAGCAGTAAAAAGACTGCAGAGAACGCCATAATTCTCAGAGTTAAAAAATGCAAATGACAGTGTAGCGAAACCATATTAATTTCAAACCCACTAAATGAAAACTTATGTACAAACAGCAGCCACCCGTGTTTGCTCTGCCAGCCAGATGACCCACCGTGTGAGTCAGGGCGCCAAGGCTCAGCTTAGCCTCTGTGTGAGCACGAACGTGGCTCCTAGTCCTGTTAGCGGGGCCCGTTCTTCGGGGCCCAGGCAGACGACTTTGATCTGCCTGTGAACCTCTATCTGTAGATAGTGGGGAAGGCCTGGAGTCACCCAGACCTGGCTCCAAACCCTGGCTCCAGCATTTTCCGGGGGTGGGACCCATGCCTCAGTTTCCTCCTGTGTAAAAAAGGGATAACAGCAGCCCCCACCTGGCCAGGTTGTTCAGAAGAGGTGAGGCGTGAGGGGAGAGCTAAGCATAGTGTTAGAACACAGTGGGAGCCCTCCCTGCCCTTATTTTGTGTTGTTATTTCTTGACAATACTTTCATCGGCCCTTAGTTTTGATTTCTGGATGTACATGAAAGTAGCCGAAGGCCAAATCTACATAAGAACATTTTAGATGGGCTAGCTCCCACCCCCAGTTAATCTGAGTCAGGGAGAGGAGAGGTGAGGCCCTGAGGTACCCCACCTCGGGCCGCTGGCTGCCTCACCTGGTACTCCTCCTCCAGGCGTGACAGCAGCACGGCCTGCTCCACTGTCAGGCGCCGGTCAATCAGGCCCAAGGTCAACACCATGGACTTGAGCTGGGTCACCACAAACTCAATCCCTGCGGGGATACAAGCCAGGTCAGGATCCAGGGCCCACCCCACCCCAAAACAGGGCAGTCACTGGACCTACACTTTGTTGAGTCCCTGCAGCCCTAGAGAGGTACAAAAGCACGACCTGGGAGAGAAAGGTCACAGGGGACATGCGCTTTGTGGTCGGCTCTGTATTCTTTCCCCACTCTTCTCAGACAGCCCTCTGGTTTCCCTCGGGGGTGTGATCCCACTTCCGCTCCTGCCCAGGGTGGGCACGGGACCTGAACCTACGCTGTCAAGAGAGCTCCACCCTCTGCCCAGTGACTGGTTTGCGGATGGCCACGTGACTGGAGCCAGGCCAATGAGATCTGAAGTTGAGATGCCTGAAGAGGAGAAAGCCAACCTTCTCCTGGGAGGGAGGGGAGCCTGCTGTCCCCCTTGGACTGAGTAGAAGGGTTAGCATCGGGGCCACCCCCTAGAGTGCCCCTGTGACACTCTGGGCTTCGGATGCCTATGCCCATCAGGCCGCCCTCCCAGGCCCGTAGGAAGCGCCACAAATACCTTGTAGGGCCCACATGTTGTAAGAGGCCAGGTGGCTGGTGAGCACTTCCCGAGTCCTGGCTGGGATGCTGGGCCCCATTATGCTGGTGGAGGAGCCGATCTCCACATCGTATCTGCAAGGAAAACGCTTCGCTGTGTCCTATTGCGTTGAAGCTGGCTTCGACAATGACACATTTTCAAGAACGGTCCTAACTATACAAGGCACAGGAGAAACATAACGGAGTAAAGGCAATTTTTGTCATTTTCTTTCGTATGTAACTCATTTTTCCTGTTGGTTTAGAAATATCCTTGCTGAAATTTCTAATAGTAACACCGTGAATGGCCAGGTTGTTTTGTAAACCATTAAGGATGAGAATCTCAAGTGCCACAAAAAGCAGATAATTTTGTACCAGAGCAAAGATCTCCAGGCACCTACGCTATCGTTATATTTCATTAAACTCTGCAGTGACACCGTGCCTTCAGAGCTCTTACACAATGCTGTAGTGGTTACATTTTATGGGATCCTTTAGTGCAGTGGCTGTGCCTTTTACTATAAAACCCAAGGATACCCGGCACACTGTGGGCATTCAGGAAACGCGTACAAATGAGACTGACCGATATCACTTCGGTGAAAAATGGTTTGCCAAAAGCAACTCTGTGTACGCTTACAAAATACTACGGTCAGAGCAGTACCATGGTAGGAGCCCTTCCAAACTCCCCCGGAATGAAATGAAATTGAATTCATGTTGCCACCCCATCAACAGTTTGTTCAACTTTGCACAAAAGGACCTTTCTGCTAAGGAAACATGCTGGGTATCGTCAATTCCTAGAAGCCTTACATTCACAGGATAAACGTTACCAGACTCGTCCTCACGTGCATACGTATCACATACGCCGTTTTCGGATTTGGTTTAATGGTACAGCACTCGTGGCCATGATAAAGACGGTAACTGCCCAGATCTGAGTATTTACCGTGTACCAAG